AGGTAAATAAATAATTAATCATTTTCACCGCTTCACATTTTTTTAAATCTATTTAAAAATTTTTTTTGTAAAGGTCAATTAGCTCAGGGATTGGATGAAGCAATAAAAACCATGCTTGTTGGTGAGAAAAGCGAAATTTTATTAACGTCAGAACATGGTTGGTAAAATTTAAAGTTATATCTTATCTCTAAATCTATTATCAAATTGATTGTATTGTACTTCAATATTATATAGCTTATGGGAAAGTTGGATGTCTTCCATTCATTCCTCCTAATGCTGATCTAAAGTATGAAGTAGAGGTATTGAGATTCACAGAAGTAAGTTTGAATTAAAAATAAAAAAATCATAATATACGCAAAAAAATCTTTTTTCGACTAACTTTTTTATTTATTAATAAAATATATACAGCAACCAATAAAACGCAAGTTACTTAAACTGACAAGATTAAAGGAGGAAGGCAATGAATATTTCAAAAAGAGCGATTCGAAACGGGCGAGAGATTATTATCAAAAAGTTTGTATTATTTTTTATTATAGAGTTCTATTATATACGATAAATAATAAATAAAAATAAACTGTTTATTGTCATAATTATTCAAAATTCTAGGCCCTCAGAATCATTGAGGACGAAGCAACAGAATATGAACAAGATCCATCAACATCAGATGCAGCTGTAACTGAAACAGCAGGATCAAAAATATCAAAAAGAATCATAAACAAAGAATTTCAAGAATTATTTGTCATCCTAAATTCTAATACTGCCGCCTGTTTTTTAGCAGAACGAGATTTCGTGGATGCGAAAAAACATTGTAAAGAAGTATGTATTCACTTTCTTTTATTTCAATAAACAATCATCTTTGGAATTCTTCAATTTATTAAACACAATTAATTGCACAAATTGATTAATTGAAAGGTTCTTGAACAAGACCCTAATAACATCAAAGCACTTTACAGACTTGGCCAAGCATTACTCGGAATGAATGAGTTTGATGAAGCGGCTAAACATGTAGATCGAGGGTTATTGGTATAGATATACTTTTTTATTGGCAATTGCGTTAAAAATGATGCTTCCTGTTATTTATTTATAATTTTTTTTAGATTGCACCAAACGATAACTCGCTTAAATTTTTAAAAGAAAAAATTGCGTCTGCAAGAATTCAATCCGAGAAAAAAGAAAAGAATATGTATAGTAGGATGTTTTCTTCTAGTTAACAGATTAGGTTATAGCTTGCGTTCATACAAAGACACGTTTTGATATAACGACTTATGTTGGGCTAATCTCTAAATGTTATCGTTATATCAAGATTCTTTTGATATATGGCTTTTAAATATTTATTAAATCATACCAAAGAAAAAAATTAGTAAATTTTTTTCTCAAAATTAACAAATACAATAATGTAATAAGTATGACTTTATTTTTAGTAATTATATGACAGATTTCGCTATTTAGATGACATATACATGCGACATTTGGCTTTCAAAACTGAAAAACTCGGATTTTTTCTAACACATAAGTAAAATCACATGACTATCAATTATAAATTTTTATCCAAATCGGATCTTCGAGACCGCGCGCGCTAATAGTGACAATAATGGCAAAGTATTTACGAAATTTCCAAAGACTCTATATAAAGTTTTACATTAATATACTCATTTTTTGCTCACTTCCAGTCTTACTAACGAGGCTGATTCCGATCCAATTAAGAATGCTGGTACTAGCCATGAGCAAATAGTCACGCCATGGGATGTAGAAGGGGCGGTAATTGAGGGGCAAGCGCAAGCTATAGATTACGATAAGCTAATCCAGCAGTTCGGTACAAAACCGATAACTAACGAGTTGTTGACAAGATTAGAGAATTTGACGGGGAGAAAACCACATCTTTTATTGAGGAGGGGCGTGTTTTTCTCGCACAGGTATTTTGTTTTCGTATGTTTTTATATCTTTTTGGCGATATGATAAACTCAATTATTGCTTTACGCAATAATTCATTGATTTTTATACAAATAAAGAGAGCTTGAGAATATTCTTAATCGATATGAACAAAAGAAACCGTTCTTCTTGTACACTGGTCGAGGACCTAGTAGTACAAGCATGCATCTTGGTCACATGATTCCATTTGTGTTTTGCAAGTATGATATCCTTAATTAATTATGCTTTTTTTTCTTATTGCTTATAATTAACACTTTTATTGTTTTATAGGTGGTTGCAAGAAGTATTCGATGTTCCTCTGGTGATTCAATTAACAGGTTAACTAATTAACTTTTTTATCTTTAATACAGTAGGAACTCGATTTAGCGATGATTAACTAAAAACTTGATTAACGAGAATTGGATTTGCCCGAAACATATTGTGTCGTGAAACCGCGATTGTTCTCCTATGGAAAAAAAATTTGCGATGTATTGATATATCGTTAAATCGAGTTCTTACTTTACCTGCATACTGAGATATTGAATTTTGTAATCAATTTTTTGTGATCTCTCTTATCATGACGAATGTTAGATGACGAAAAATTCCTTTTCAAGAACGATTTGACACTTGATAACGCGTACAAATTTGCATATGAGAATGCGAAAGATATTATCGCGTGTGGTTTCAATTTGGAGAAAACGTTTATTTTCTCGGATTTTGATTACGTTAGGTGAGTAATGTAAACGTAATACCATTAAAACAACTATTAAATTTAACTACTTTTTTTTTTGGTTACAATTACCGTTACTATCAATAGAGGAGCTTTTTATCAAAACGTAGTAAGAATCGCAAAAAGCATCACGACTAGTCAATCGAAATCGACATTTGGATTCAACGATAGGTCTTTATTATATTATAATTTGATCATTGCTTTTGCTTAATTATTTAAAATTAAACACTTCCCCGTTTTTGATTGTGAATTCTATTTTTTTGTGGTCTTATTTCGTACCAAAAAAAATAAATAATATTTAGTGACTGCATTGGAAAAATTCATTTCGTAGCAATCCAGGCTGCTCCTTCTTTTTCAAACTCGTTTCCACAGATATTTGGCACGAAAAGTGATATTCCATGCTTAATTCCTTGTGCTATTGATCAAGTAATAAGTTTTTATGGTTTCTCTCTTCCCTAAGAATTATTATTGTCATTTTTTATTTTATTACAGACAAACCCCTCTTTAGCCACCGCTCGTGGGAAAGCAGAATTTGGTGGTTAGAGAGGGGTTTGGCTGTAATTATTACAGTCATCCCATAGTCACACCATTTTTTTGATGCCGAGGGAGTGGCTATATGTATTGTTAATTAATTTATTTCTTTATTTTCTTGTTAACTGATAATTATATTACTTGAAAAAGGATCCATACTTTCGATTAACTCGTGATGTAGCTCACAAGCTCAAATACCCAAAGCCAAGTTTAATCCATGCGAAGTTTTTCCCAGCACTTCAGGTGATTTTATGTAATAATAATAAATAAATGAATGAATAAATAACTAATATATTTGTCTGTAGGGACCTCAAACTAAAATGTCAGCATCGATAGACAATTCGGCGATATTTCTAACAGATACAGCCAATCAAATAAAGAAAAAAGTTATTTTGTTTTATCTTTATTTATTTGTATGTTTGTGATTGAGCGAATATTTTTCTTATGCTACTCAAAAAACTTTCTAGATCAATAAATATGCTTTTTCAGGAGGTGGTGATACACTAGAATTACATCAACTAAACGGTGGAAACCCAGATGTCGATGTTGCCTATCAATATTTATCAATGTTCCTGGACGACGATGATGAATTAGATAACTTATATAAAGTCTGAATTCATTTTTCTCCATTTTAATATTTGACGTTAAACTAATGTTTACTTATACTTTTTATTAGACATACAAATCGGGTGAGTTGATGACAGGCGAGCTAAAAGCTAAATGCATTGAGGTCCTCCAAAAATTCGTGGGCGATTTTCAAAAGGTCTTTTAATATTTTTTTTATGCATTTGATATGCTTTGAAATCTAAATCGACATTTCAATTTAGCGTAAATCTGAGATAACAGATGATCTGGTTAAACAATTCATGGACCCAACCCGCAAAATTGTAGTTGAAGGTCTTGATGCGAAGCAGAAAACTTAGTATTATTACTTTAATTACAATTACAAAATAGTAGTTATTAAATTAAAGAAAACATCAATAAATATTATTATATTAATTATATTCACTAGTTTCCAAAACTTATAAACTTTTTTTCAATTTTCGGTAACGTAAACTACCGATTTTGCCGCTTTTATAAAATTTTTTATTTTTACCGGATCTTTTTCATTATCAGTCTCAACCCCACTAGAAACATCAACAGCAAATGGTTTTACTTTTTCAATAGCATCTTTAACGTTATCGGGCGTCAATCCCCCTGCAAGAATTAGCGGGAAATCTTCCCCAGCACTTTGCTTCACTTTTAGCGCCATATTCCAATCAAATGAAACACCCGACCCACCTTGCGATGTTAATCCGTTTACTTTAGTGTCTAGTAAACAATAAGCATTATAGCCTGGTTGCGTGACGAGAATTGGATTCGAGAATGTTTCATCGACATGAAAGGCTTTTATCACGGGGACAGGTAAAAATCTGGCAAGGTCTAATGGTTCATCGCCGTGCAATTGTATAAGGTCAAGCTTCAAAAAGTCTACAATAAAAGTGATCTCTCCCAAAGATTGGTTCTGAAATACGCCAACTATTAAAGGTTTACGTGCGCGACTTATCCTTGCCGCATGCAATTTAAACCAATCATGGTGTCCAGATAAAGTATGCTGTAAATCGTTACGATTGTTTTCGGTGAATCGATTAATGTCATTGATTTGTTTCTCGGCTTGTAATTCTCTGACTACCGTCATAATTTCCAAAGCACGATCGAGTGATACTTGTCGTTTTGATTTTGCAAAAATGAGACCAACTAAATCAGCACCCGCATCCGCGGCTTCCAATGCAGCATTCACAGTTGAAACACCACAGATTTTTACTAGCGGTCTATTTGGCATTCCCAAAAGAGCATCATTCGCTTGTGTTTGTTCTAACCCTAAAATTTCATGAATAAATGCACGTTTATCTTCTGCTCTCATTAGCGCTTCGCCAATTAATAAAGCACCGACACCTTGGTTAAGATATTCGATCACGTCCTGACGTTTGGTTATGCCACTTAATGCGGCCAAAATTACATCTTTTGGAACCATTTCGGCTAAACGTGAAGTTGTCTGCATATCCACATCAAAACTATGAAGATTTCTATTATTTACACCGATTACTTTAGCCCCAAGATTTACCGCTCTTTTCATTTCTTCTTCATTATTTACTTCCACCAATGGTTCCATACCAAGATTTTTTGCGAATTTATACAATTCTCTGAGTTGTTGATCCGACAATATCGCAACGATCAACAGGACGGTGTCTGCGCCGTAGATACGTGCTTCCATTATTTGATAAGTGTCAACGATAAAATCTTTACGTAAAACCGCGGGACGATTAGGAATTGTAGACACTATATCACGAACTTGACGAAGATCATTTAGGCTGCCCTTGAACCATTTTCCCTCAGTCAAAACAGATATTACAGAGGCGCCTGCTTTTGCATATGCTAATGCTTGTTCTGCCGCATTAGCCGATAAATCAATATTTCCTTTGCTTGGGGAAGCACGTTTTACTTCTGCCATAATCGCCGGGTATTTCGGTAAAGTCTGTTTAATCCTCGAAGAGAAATCAATTAACGGAGGTGCAACGTGTAATGATAATAATTTCCGCAAGTCAAAAGGAGTTAATCCTGGTGTGTTTTTAGCGATTTCTATATCTTCTAATCGTTGCTTATGTATTTTTTCCAAAATGCTAGGAACTGCTTGTTCTTTGATTGTGGCTTTAGCAAGTGGAATCTCGACATTATAAGTTGGGTTTTCTTCCCATTTGCCGCCTTGAAGTTCAAGGAAGTTCTTTAGAATAGTTTTTCCATGCTCACTGATAATACTTTCTGGATGAAACTGAACACCTTCAATAGTGTATTCACGGTGTCTTACTCCCATGATCACATTATTCTCAGACCAACTAGTGACAATAAGCTCCTCAGGTAATGTCGCTGGTTGACCGGCCAAAGAGTGATATCGTGTCACAGCGATATCTTGTGGCACATTAATGAATATCCCTTTAGAGTCATGTTTAATTTTCGAGGTTTTTCCATGTACAATCTCACCCGCGTAGTCTACCTTTCCACCGAACACTTCAAATATACATTGTTCGCCAAGGCAAACGCCCAATATCGGTATTTTACCAGCAAAGTGTTGGATGGAAGCTCGCGAAATGCCGGCATCAGTGGAGGGGTGACCTGGCCCCGGTGAAATTATAAGATTTACAGGTTGAAGATCTTGTATTTCTTGAATGGTTATTTGGTCATTGCGAAAAACCGTTACTTTTGCGTCAAGTTCGCATAGGTATTGGTAAATGTTCCAGGTAAAAGAGTCGTAGTTGTCAATTAGAATAGTAGCCATGTAACTGTTGTTTAACGAAAGAAGTGTGCAAGTATCTATTTACACAAAACTGCAAAATAGATTGACGATCGGTAAATTAAGATATGCGTGTGATTGGTTAAAAGACGTGTCGAATTAATATCTCATCAAGACGCGTCGGTTATTTGGACTCGGAAATTTTTCTGACACATATTACATTTTTTATCTTTTAAATGCCACCAAGATATCCTAGTCGCAATAAAGCTCCACCACAACCTCCAAAGTCGAGTGACGAAAGCTCTGTTAGTCCCGACCAAGAAGATGGGTATTTATGAAAAATTTTCTTATATTTGATAAATTTAATCTCAACGTTCTTATTTTAATTAGAAAGGTTTTTTTAAACAGAGATGATATTATACAGATATTTGCTGCTTTACATAGTATGAATTATGTTTATAATAGTTTTAAAAAGAAGCCAAATTATTAGTATTACAAGTGAATTTTGATTTTAACTAATTATTTGTTATTATCAGATCGTATGGAGAAAAAAGCCAAACAAAAACAAAGTAGACTCGCTTCGGAATGCGATGCTACCATTCAATATATTACTGATTTGTCTGCTGAACTTGTGAAACGACATAAATTTGAATTGTATGTATGAGTAATTAATTTATTGATGAGTACTTAATTAATAATAAAATTTGAAATTTTTTAATTGGCAGAAACACTAAAATTGGCGAATATAAACGAAAGCACGAAGAGCTAGAACAAGAACGATTAGATATTGTCAAAAAGTTGAGATTGGAAGAGGCCAAATATTTGGTATAGGTTCTGAGATTATTATGTATATGTTAAACTATGGTATTCTGGTGTATAACTAGCTATTTATGAAAAAATTAATTAATAACTCAGTTATTGATTTTTTTCTTTATTTTGTAGCAAAACCACGACACAATTCTCAATGAGCTGATAAAATCAGAAACGGCTCAACTGAAAACATATCAGGCCTTTGAGCGAAAATACGGATCTTTTATTGAAGGTCTGATAGAACTTAATTGCTACTTGCTCAAAATGATTTGAATTATGACACAGTGGATGATACTTGGTTTTTGGAAACAATATCAATGAAAATATTATAATTTAACAATTCTATAATAACTGTTTTAGAGACGAAACACCAATTCAAGAGCCCAATAGTTAGAAAGTCAACGATCGAGAATCCTTTTATTGAAAAAAGAAAGGATTCATGAAATTTTATTCTTTAATTATTTTTTCTATTTTTATAGGTAATATTTGTGAAATAAATATAGAAGTAACTGATATTATAAATATATTTTAAATAATTAAATTTGAAATACTTAATTAAGTTTTTAAATATTTATTTAAGAGTATTTGAATTATATTATTTAAATTATTATAAGATATTAAGTAGTTTTTATTAATTTTTAACTAATTAAATATTAAATTTAATAATTTTTCTAAAATAAAAATTCAAGCTATTAAAGATTTTATCTTTATTTTGTAAGATATATACTTCTTTTATTTTTAAATTCAAATATTTTTTGTTATAATTAATATAAATAAGCTTATATTTATTCTTGAATTAACTTTATTTCATCTTTTATTAATTTTGCAAATTCTTTTCTAACTTTAATTTAAACTTCATCTTGTATTATTTCTTGATAAAATTAAAGAAATTTTTATTAAATAACTTTTTGATTTAAATTATTATATTTTTCAAGATAAAATAGTTAATTAAAAAATCTTTTTTTTTATTTTAATCTCTTTAATTAAATTTACTTTGATATATTATTGATCAGATTAATTTTTTTTAATTAATTTCTTTTTTATTACTATTTAATTTATAAAGAATTTTTTAACTTCAAAATATAAGTTAAATTAAATAATTGCTTAAAATTATTATTTATAAAGTTTTCTTTATCTTAAAATATTATAATTAATTATCTATTCAAGTAGTATAGTAATATGATGCAGATATAATATGTAATATAGTTATCAAGTATTATTAAATTAAACATACAAAAAATTAATATTAGTTAAACTTATTTTTAATTCTATTTATAAATTATCTTATTATTTATATTTAATCTTATTTATTTATTTAGTTATATATGTCATACTTAATTAATAATTTTATTAAATTAATAATTTTCTAATTAATTATTATTAATTTTTCTTCCTTTTTCTTTTTTTAATTATAATTTCTTTAATATTTTATTAATTTCAATTCTTAATTACTTTATATTTAATTTAGAAATATTCTTTATAATAATTCTTTTAAGATTTTACTTATTTTTGAGTAAATT